AGTTTAACCTTGGTTAAGACGAACCAGTGCTACCTATGATCCGTGTCACTGGGAACATTGACTTAAGGTGTATTTTAGCAACATGGGTCTCGGAGAGTAGTTGGATGGGTGACCACGTTCAGCAGCTTGACTCCTGAGAGTTTCGAGGGCTTCGGTCCTGCCCCACACTGAAGCACATGTACCACATGTGGCATCTCCTTAGGCAAGTGACTTTGTTCGAAATGTGCCTCTGTTCACCCAGCAGTGAGTGGGTACCCGGTAGGATGAGATGGTAATGTGACTGTTAACCTTCTAGCCTCACAGGCAGCTTGGGTTGTATACTTCCCAGGGAGTTGAGAATGAAAATCGATTGCTCACTGATCCATAGACCGGGGTAATAATAGTGTAGCGCTATGAGCATCCACTTGGTGAATGGAATATGGCACATTATAAATGCACTTATTTTAATTATTATTATTATTATTATTATTATTATTATTATTATTAAATGAGCGGAAGGTCGGAGTTTCGATTGCTCACTGCATCATACCAAAAGACGTAAAAAAAAAGATGGTACATGTTGTTACTTTGTCTGGCGCTCGGCATTAGGGGCTAAAACAAGGACTAGTCGGCTCAGTATACTGTGTCTGAGTGGGGTATTCATGTACACCTGCAGCATGGTATCGATGAGTGAATTAATCTTGAACACAACATTAAAACTCATTCCACCTCAAGTCTAAAGTACCATATTCGATGTAATAAGCGCACGGAGCGCTCTCAAAATTAGAAATAGGGGGCTCTTATAAGAATATAATTTTGGTTGAAAGATTTTAAATTTCATAGTTTATGCTGACAGCCTGAAATGATACAAAAGAGAAGTATGTGCGTATCATACACGACAGATATTTTTTACCAGAATTTAATTGCCCGTAATTAAGGATGTGTCTTGTGTACATTGATAAATCGGAAGGGGTGCTAATTAGGATTGTTCACTAGCCAACATATCAGCAAATATCGCCGTGGGTGCTTATTAGAGTTGGGCACTTTTTACGTCAAATACGGTAATTTCGTGCTCATGAATTATTTACTCCAAAATGTGTTTACAGGTCCTCAACATTATCGATGACATTGAAAACGCATTCATGAGAAACTTAAACACAGTCGCGTGGATGGACGAACAGACACGAGATATTGCCATCGAAAAGGTCAAGGCCGTGACTGACATGATCGGCTACCCTGACTACATCCTTGACCCTGAGAAACTGGACAGGCATTATGAGAACGTGAGTTGTACAAGCAGACACAGTGAAGTCTAAACGATAAAATTGAGGGTAGGGAATGCCTATGCCCCTTAACTGTTCACCGGTAAATCTGGCTACCTTTTCACAGATCACAGCTAATTTATTACCCATTTCTTAATCACGGATAATTATCATGCAAATTAGTTCATATTTCACAGAGATAAGGAATTATTCAGTCTTACTTATCAATCTGATAGTGACCATATCATTATCAAGTTTATGTTTTTGCATGTATAAACTAGGTCTGCACCTCATTAGTCTAAAAAATTAGTTTTTTAACTTATCCTGCATTACTTTGAAATGTATCTACTGCTTGTTCTTGACAGATTTTCAAACCAGATTACATCACATTTTCCCTTGTTTTCAGATGACAATCCCAGACGGACAGTTTCTCTTCAGCCGCTTGTCAGTGTTGACCTTCCAGAAAGAGTTCAACTTGAACAAAAGAGGAAAAAAACCTGACAGAAAAGAGTAAGTTCTTTGGCCTTGGCTTTTTTTGTCACCTGGGTTAAAAAAATGAAAAGCGTTAGTTGGGTATGTGTTTGAAATACAAGTAAAATTAAAGTTTAAAAAAAGAGTGTTATGGAACATCATACAAAATACAAAAATTCTGTCAGGTCAAGTACAAAAAATGGAATGGAAAAGTGATTTGGGATGATGTAATGATTTGTGTTTTTTCTTTAGTTACATTTCAACTGGAGAAGCCATGCAACTATTTTGGTTTTTGACGTTCATGCAACTGATTCTGTTTTTGACGTTCATGCAACTGATTCTGTTTTTGACGTTCATGCAACTGGCTCTGTTTTGGATGTTCATGCAACTGGCTCTGTTTTTGACGTTCATGCAACCAGCTCTGTTTTTGATGTTCATGCAACTGGCTCTGTTTTGACATCATGCAACTGGCTCTGTCTTTGACGTTCATGCAACTGATTCTGTTTTTGACGTTCATGCAACTGATTCTGTTTTTGACGTTCATGCAACTGGCTCTATTTTTTATGTTCATGCAACTGGCTCTATTTTTTACGTTCATGCAACTGGCTCTGTTTTTGACGTCGATGCAACTGGCTCTATTTTTTACGTTGATGCAACTGGCTCTGTTATTAACGTTCATGCAACTGACTCTGTTTTTGACATTCATGCAACTAGCTCTGTTCTTGACGTTCATGCAACTGGCTTTGTTTTTGATGTTCATGCAACTGACTGTCTTTGACATTCATGCAACTGGTTCTGTTCTTGACGTTCATGCAACTGGCTTTGTTTCAGATGGGACATGGCGCCATCTGATGTGAACGCATACTACAGTCCGTCCAACAACCAGATTGTGTTCCCTGCTGGAATCCTGCACAAACCCTTCTTCAACCCACAGTTTCCATTGTACGGTTACCATGGTTACATGCCTTTTTAGCTCACCTGGCCATAAACCTTTTGCAATTTTGACTTCTCAGAAATCAGTTGATGGATTCAGCTGAATTTTTATGGATGTTTGTTATAATGAGGGTCAAGTTTGTTCAAGGTATCAAAATTGGAAATAGAATTAGGCAGCCAGGTAGCCATCTTTGATATTATAATCTTTTGAGAACAAGAGGCTTGAAACAAAGTGACAGTCACCTTGTGTTGTACCAAGTTTGTTCAAGACGTCTTGATCAGAAATCAAATATGGCTGCCAGTGGCCATATTGGAAAATTCCAAAAATGATGAGCAATCCTTCATACATCATGTCCTCAGAAACCACTTGACCAATACAGCTGAAACTTCACATGCCTGTTCCCACTAATGATAACACAACAATATCTTCAAGGGTTTGAATTTGATTTCCAATGTGGCCGTCCATTTTGAAAATGCTAGTTATGGTCGTTTTTCAGTCATCTTTGTTAAAAATGTAATGAAACTTGGTACATGAGTAGTTGGTAGTGGGGCTGAACTTATATGGTCAGTTTTTGTGATATTTTTAATTTTGCCCTTAATTTGACCTTGCACTTTGACCTTGCACTTTGACCATGTTCCTAAAAACTCTCAAAATGCATTTTCTCACACTGTAGACATGGTTTCATGAGAACTACTGAGACAATAAAGCTGAAACTTCACACACTTGTCCCCACCTCTGGTGACATCTGTTCAAGGGATTTGAATACAATTTTCAAAGTGGCAACCATGGCAGCTATATAGAAAAGTGTGCTATTTATGCTAAAAATTGGCTGTATTGCTCATAAATTCTCTCAAAATGCAGTTTTCTTTCTCTGTTAACATCTCTGAAATTGCCAGACTATTGGCTTTCTGTGATGATGATGTGTGAAGTTCATGTGATATGTTCCAGGTCATTCCGCTATGGATCTCTTGGAATGATTGTCGGCCATGAGCTGACCCATGGATTTGATAACAAAGGTTAGTCTTCCATCCATCCATCCATCATCCATCATCCTTCATCCATCCATCCATCCATCATCCATCCATCCTCCATCCATCCATCCATCCTCCATCCATCCATCCATCCATCCATCCATCCTCCATCCATCCATCCTCCATCCATCCATCCATCCTCCATCCATCCATCATCCATCCATCCATCCATCATCCATCCATCCATCCATCATCCATCCATCCTCCATCCATCCATCCATCCATCCTCCATCCATCCATCCTCAATCCATCCATCCATCCATCCATCCTCCATCCATCCATCCATCCATCCATCCATCCTCCATCCATCCATCCATCCATCCATCCATCCTCCATCCATCCATCCATCCTCCATCCATCCATCCATCCATCATCCATCTATCCATCCTCCATCCATCCTCCATCCATCCATCCATCATCCATCCATCCATCCATCCTCCATCCATCCATCCATCCATCCATCCATACTCCATCCATCCATCCATCCATCCATCCATCCATCCATCCATCCTCCATCCATCCATCCATCCTCCATCCATCCATCCATCCATCCATCATCCATCTATCCATCCTCCATCCATCCATCCATCCATCATCCATCCATCCATCCATCCATCCATCCATCCATCCTGTACCCACTTATCCATTATCCATTTCTATCTTACTTCCAATAACATCTTTATACCTACTAGGGGCCGTTGGGTATCCTAGTCGGGTCGGGTATCCCGGTTAAAGCTTTTCGCTCGTCACGCCGAAGACCCAGGTTCGATTCCCAACATGGGTACAATGTGTCCCCCACCGTGATATTGCTGGAATATTGCTAAAAGCGGCGTAAAACCATACTCACTCACTCACTTAATAGTCTATTATACCTTTCAATAAGAAGAATATATTGTGTCTTCAGCACCTTGACTTATAGTTCTGTTTAATGATCTGGACACAATGTGCAGTTGTGTCCCTTAGCTGTGCCAGGATGTGGCAGATTCACCCCATTAGGAACTATTGTTGTGTCAGCACCATATCCTTGACAATGGGTTTCGTCAGAGTGGTGAATGTCAAGTGCTTTCATCACTGTGGTGTTTTCTCCCGTATTACACGCCCTGTTTCAGTGCTTTGTGACTCACGTACTCACTCATGGTCATGTAGTAACACCAGATCTCACTCACTCACTCACTCTATCCCTCACTCACCACCTCACTGACTCACCCAACTCATCTCACTCACTCACTCACTCTATCCCTCACTCACCAACTCACTGACTCACCCAACTCATCTCACTCACTCATCAAGTTCACTCACTCACCCCAGGAGCACGGGTGGCCCAGTCGTCTAAGGCGACGCGATTTGCTGTGCAGAGTTGCGTCCCTTGGGCACGCCAGAAATCTATGATTGTGGGTTCGAATCCCGGTTCGCCCCGATTATGTTTCTAGGTTTGTCAGCACCATACCTGTGCTCGTGGGTATCAGCGAAGTGGTCAACGTCTGAGACCTGCATCACTTCAGGCTTTCCTCCCTCATTAAGCGGACACGCCATGATATAACTGGAATACTGTTAAAAGCGGCGTTAAACCAAACCCACCCACTCACTCACTCACTCACCCAACTCACCGAGTTCACTCACTCACCCAACTCACTGACTCACCCAACTTATCAAATTCACTCACCCAACTCACCATGTTCACTCACTCACCCAACTCACCGAGTTCACGCACACAACTCACCGAGTTCACACCCCAAACTCACCGAGTTCACACAGTCCATTCACTAGTAACTCACTCCACACTGTGTCATATCTCCACAGGTAGGAACTACGACAAGGATGGCAACCTGCACAGCTGGTGGACCAACTCCTCAGCTAGGGGCTTCGAGGAGAAGACAGCGTGTATGATCAACCAGTACAGTCAATACACAGTAGAGGGCATCCATGTAAGTACTGGCTGCCCTGGTGTGTGTTCACACCCTACCCAATCTTCTCCCGCATGATGTTACAAACGGGGGCCTGCAACTCAAAACACGAGCTTGTTACATTTTGTAGTAACCATCTCAAACAGCTTGTTGGGAGTAAAAATTATTTCGTGCACAAAAATTGTAACATTGAAACCTGCAACTAATGCAATTGCAGTGTGAAATGTGCAAACATTAAATACCCCACTGTTCCCGTTTACCGGTAATTACCAGTTTTGTACCGGTAATATTAGGCTTGGACCGGTTATTCATGTGACTGCCAGTCCATGTGGACCGGAAAATAAAGTTCCTTATAAATCTTTGTTTTTGAACAAAACATCGGTGATATTCATATTAGTACATTTTTCGTAGAAAGTCAGCTTGTCTGTTACCATCAGGGTTTCCCCTTGTCTATTTCTAGGTTAAATATTCATTTGTAGCAACTTCGTCTCGAAATATTAAAAAAAAAGAAGAAAATTGTGACAAGTTTGTGTGAATGACGCATAGATCTAACTAAGTTATTTCAGAGATGACATCTTTGCACTGAACATGATGTTGAAAGAATTAAAACCAAATAAAAATTTTTTGTTGAAAGTTGGGACTGGCAAAAATTAGGGGGGACTGGTAATTTTTAGAGTTGCAGTTTCAAAAGCCAGCGAGAACACTGCACCCATAAGTCTGAAAACACCTCAGAAAACCTCAGAGTGTTTCAATCTCGCTTCTTCAATTGTTTCAGCTGAATGGCAAGTACACGCTGGGAGAAAATATTGCTGACAATGGTGGACTGAAGACGTCTTACTCGGCCTACCAGATGGCTAAACATTCATCAGGCACCCCTCCTAAACTTCCCGGGATGAACCTCACGCCAGACCAACTCTTCTACGTCGGATTTGCTCAGGTGCGTCTCTCTCAGTCCACTTTCCGCAGAAACGGGTCTTGTTCTCTTAGCGATCTTAGCAATATCCCTGTTAAAACGGCTATTCTCTGTCATGCACCTCTGATCATTCCAGTGCTAAGATGTTTTTGTGGAACAAGTTCAGGCCTGATGCTCCAACCCTGCCTTCAGACAATAGCACAATCTTGTGTATGCAGGATGCCCACATTTTACAGTAGAATAGGTCTTCAGCAACCCATGCTTGCCGTAAAAGGTCGCTATGCTTGTCGTAAAAGGCGACTAACGGGATCGGGTGGTCAGGCTCACTGACTTGGTTGATGCATGTCATCGATCCCAATTGCGTGGATCGATGCTCATGACATTAATCACTGGATTGTCTGGTCCAGACTCGATTATTTACAGACCGCTGTCATATAGCTGGAATATTGCTGAGTGCGGCGTTAAACAACAAACAAACCAACCACATTTAACATGTTTAGGAAACTGCAGGTTTTATGTAATTTGAACACTTTAAAAAAAAACTAACATCTTTTTCAACATTTACCTTATTTGGGTTGGGCCTTTTTGGCCCAATAAAATTGACATACTTTTTTCTCAAAGTAATATGTACCTATTAGGGAACCATTTGCTTGTAGAAACAGACATGTGTTGGGAGAAAACTGTATCATAATCATCTCCTTCAAGCCCCTTCCCAGCACGTGACACCTTCGTTACACTCTCGGTAACATCGCTGCCACCAGTGTGGGCGCGGCCATTACAAGAATCTTGAAATTTGCCCTCTAACCCCAAATGTAGTAATGCATATATTTTATTTTTTGGGAATGCCAATACAGTTATTTTTTTAAAGTTTTACGACTGACCATATTTCCCAGATAAATTTATCTTTTTGTTTGTTTGATCAGATTGGTTCGAGATTGCAGACGAACGGAAAATCACCTAAATTCCCCTTTACATTCTTACTATACCAATAACATGATAGTTGAAATGAAATAGAAATTCAAATAGACGAAGAAAGAAAATAATTTAGTTAGGGTAAGAGTATTCGGCGTCACTGCTGTCATCGCTTGTTTGTAAGCATAACGGTCCGTCTGTTGCGAGTTCAACTCCATGCATGGCTGTGACCACATTTGACAGTGGGGAGTTTTGACTGATGGCAGCGATAGTATAGAGAGCTCCGCGAATGAGCTAACGCTGTGAGGAGTTTGCATCGCCTTGTGGAAAGGGAGTTAACTCTCTTTACTATGACTGAGAAATATATCCCCATGTTGTTATATTGCATGGCACCAGGCGCCATGCTTAGTTTGTTTTTGGTTTGAGAAAGTTACATAGGGATGAGTTATAGTTGGGAAGATGTAAACAAACTTTTGAAAGAAACTTTATCTTTGTCTCCGATATGTGTGATATTCTTCATATGAAATAGTTGAATAATTATGAAAATATTTGTAAAATGTTCCTAACTGTACATCTTTACACTAAACATGGTTGTATTATTTGGCACAATAATAAGAGGGAGGCACTCTCTGTAATAGACTGGTTTACCTGCCTATAGCATATCGCTAGGCAGGAAGTCATTGTTGTGAAAACATAGAACTAGTGTTGTTTTCATAGTGTTTCTTTCCTACTTTTATATAATAATGAAATAAATATTTAAACTGAAATGTACCATATTCTCATTCCTGATTCTGAAGGTACCACATGCAAATTACAATTTGTTTACCTTCTGGGTTACACATGTGCTTTGTGACAGTACAGGTACTTACATCAATAGGTAGTTATGCTACAAAATGTATTTGCACCATGTTGATCCTCTGGATCAAAATTATCTTGTTTGGACTTGTTGGTTGGTTTGGTTGGTTGGTTGTTTAACGCTGCACTCAGCATTATTCCAGCTATATGATGTCAGTCTGTAAATAATCGAGTATGGACCAGACAATCCAGTGATTAATATCATAAGCATCGATCCACGCAATTGGGATCGATGACATGCATCAACCAAGTCAGCGAGCCTGACCACCCGATCCCTTTAGTTGCCTTTTACTACAAGCATAGTCGCCTTTTACGGCAAGCATGGTTGCTGAAGACCTAGTCTACCCCGGATGTTCACGGGTCGTTTGGACTTGTGGAACTTGTTGAACTTAGCACTTATCATTAGACTCTGTGTTTCAGGGACTTACATAGTTGTATTGCTGAAACATGTTTTTATTTCGACTAAATGTTAAAACCGTTTGTGTTTGCAGATATGGTGTTCGTATTATACCCCTGAGTATGCCAAACAGACCGTGATGACTGACGTGCACAGTAACGCCAAGTACAGGTCAGTTAGAACACAGTTAGAACACAGCTGGAACACAGGTAGAACACAGTTAGAACACAGGTAGAACACAGTTAGAACACAGGTAGAACACAGTTAGAACACAGGTAGAACACAGAACACAGGTAGAACACAGTTAGAACACAGTTAGAACCGACTAGAACACAGGTAGAACACAGAACACAGGCAGAACACAGTTAGAACACAGCTAGAACACAGTTAGAACACAGCTAGAACACAGGTAGAGCACAGTTAGAACACAGGTAGAACACAGTTAGAACACAGGTAGAACACAGTTAGAACACAGCTAGAACACAGGTAGAACACAGGTAGAACACAGTTAGAACACAGCTAGAACACAGTTAGAACACAGTTAGAACACAGCTAGAACACAGCTAGAACACAGGTAGATCACAGTTAGAACACAGCTAGAACACAGGTAGAACACAGTTAGAACACAGCTAGAACACAGTTAGAACACAGGTAGATCACAGTTAGAACACAGCTAGAACACAGGTAGAACACAGGTAGAACACAGTTAGAACACAGCTAGAACACAGTTAGAACACAGGTAGATCACAGTTAGAACACAGCTAGAACACAGGTAGAACACAGTTAGAACACAGCTAGAACACAGTTAGCACACAGTTAGAACACAGGTAGCACACAGTTAGGACACAGGTAGAACACAGGTAGATCACAGTTAGAACACAGCTAGAACACAGGTAGAACACAGTTAGAACACAGCTAGAACACAGGTAGAACACAGTTAGAACACAGGTAGAACACAGTTAGAACACAGCTAGAACACAGTTAGAACACAGGTAGATCACAGTTAGAACACAGGTAGAACACAGGTAGAACACAGTTAGAACACAGTTAGAACACAGGTAGATCACAGTTAGAACACAGCTAGAACACAGGTAGAACACAGGTAGAACACAGGTAGAACACAGTTAGAACACAGCTTGAACACAGCTTGAACACAGCTGGTAGAACGTGACCTGTAATGGGATGTCTTCAGATCATTGTTTAGCGGTAGTGAGAACTAAGATCTGATTTTAATGAGATTGTCAGTGCCTTGTGATAACGTATAACAAACTGTCCTATGTTCCAGGGTGATCGGGCCTGTGTCCAACTCGTACGACTTCTCCAGCGTATTCAAGTGTCCGGCCGGAGCACCGATGAACCCCAGCAAGAAGTGCACAGTCTGGTGATGAAGACGTAGCTTTAGGTGATGGCCACATATCTCAGCACGCTGCAGCTCCATCGCAAACACTTCACAGGGTTTCTACACACTATGTTCCTTCAGCACACATCAATATATATATATCCTTTTGCCATGTACCTGCTGTTGTTTGCGGCCTGGCTCTAGCAAAGGGATACCAGTGAGCTCTCAGACCAATAAACGCTCAGATTACACGGCACAAATGGCTATATTTCACGTGCAACATACGCCATAGGTCTGCAACCATCTATACTCCACATGGCTTCAATGTCAGGCAGTTGTAGGGTTTACACCAACTTCATGCAGGGAGAACGGCTCCTTTGATTTCTGTGAGTTCCGCGAACACCTGGCGCCATCACTGATATTCAGTTGTCCATTCATATAGTTTTCTCACCTAGTTTGTCCTTTACCCCTAATGAGGGGCGGTCGGGTAGCCTAGTGGTTAAAGCGTTCACTCGTCACGCCGAAGACCTGGGTTCGTTGCAATGTCAAAAATGTTAATGCATCTTGTCCATCTTTAGAAATATTTACATTGAAACTCGAGGAATTATTTCATTATGACAATCTTGTTCATAATAATTCTGAGGGCAGAGCTTTTACACAAAATGCTGTTTTTAAATACCGTGATCGACGTAATAAGCGTGCAGGGCACTCACAAAATTAGAAATAGGGGGCTCTTATTAGAATATTATTTTGGTGAAAAAAACAGGTGAAAGATAAATTTCGTGGTTTATGCTGACAGCCTGAAATGTTCATGTACGACAGATATATTTTTCCAGAATTTAATTGCACATAATTAAGGGTGCATATAACACACGAGTGCATATTATACGCGAATAAATAAGTCTTGTGTACATTGATCAATCGGAAGGGGTGCTAATTGGGATTGTTCACTAGCCAATATATTAGCAAAGATCGCCGTGGGCGCTTATTAGAGCGGGGCTCTTATTACGTTGAATACAGTACTGGTTTCATTTTAATCCAGGGAAAATGTCTGAGCAAGTAGGTTTTAAGTCACTAAGTTTTACTGGATTATAAGAAATCCTGTAATCTTTATATGTTGTTTTTTGGGGGGTTTTATTGGGGGAGAAGTGTGTTTGCTTTATGAAACACTCAGCTTGCCAATTAATTCTGCTGACTTCAACAGAAATGTTGGATAGACTATATCTGTATCTGTTTCATTACTGTGTGTAATCGTATGGTCATGTCTCTTTTTATGACCTTATCTATAGGGTTGTTTTGGGGGGGGTGAGGTAGCACAGTGGTTAAAGTGTACACTTGTACCGTGCAGGCCAGGGTTTGATTCCCCTCATGGATGCAATGTGCTGGATGTACACTTAGACTTAGAAACAAATTCTTTAAAATTATTTTTTCTAAAGAACCTTCCTCTTCTGCTTGATGTGGAATGAAGGAAAGTAGACTTGGTTTAGTTTGATCTAGACTTGCTTTGACTTGTAGCAAAACAGTCATGATGCAGGACTAGCATTAGTAATGTGCAGTCTGTGACTCTAGACACTGGTCCAAAGGCCAAGGCTAGAAAAACGTCTATCGGTCTTGTAAGCTTGACAATAAAAGTCCATTCTTTAAAATTAAGATCTTCAGAAAATGATGTAAAGTGACAGGTTTTGGCTAGTAGAGTAAAAACAATCGGCACAGACGGAATTTGTTGTCTCACACAATGAAATAGCTGTATATTACAGCATCAAGACATACTCTTGCTAATTCAATGCACGGTGCTATTTGTTCTGTAATTCACTACAGTACAGTGGTTACACAAGAAGTCGCTAATGTCTGCATTCCTTTCTGACTATGCATGCATTCCTTCTGACTTTTATATATTTAAAAAAAGATAAAACTTTAGTCAACTTCAGTGTACATGCATGACCAGATTGATTTATACAAGTATCTAAATACATTTTGCGATGTCTACGGTCAAACTTCTCCCAGTCGAATACAGTAAACTACGGTTATAACGAACTCACTAATTTTAGTTCGTTGTAACCATAGTTCGTTATAAGCATATATACAACATCTATACAGCAAATGGCCGGGGCCAAAAATAAAGTTCGTTATATCCGTCATTTCGTTATAAGCGTGTTCGTTATAAACGTATTTTACTGTAGTTTGTACCTATCTCTTGAGACCAACAGGGCAGTCTTACATCAGTCCGAAGTCATGTATATCAAGACCAGTGTGTACTTTGAAAGACTGTCTGTGTTCCACATCTTCATCCCCAATGATACTGATGCAAAAAGGTGCTTGGCCTTCCAGCTGTCTAAAGCTGCAAAGGTCAAATCAGGTCAAATCAGGTGCGCTATATTGGAATTAGGAAACTATTTTGGTTTCTCTCATCTGCATGAAATTCACTGCTTTGGTTACTAAATGTGAACCGACAAAGATATGTTATGAAAGCATGCTGGACATAGGCTAACTTTGTGTGTGATGTTTGTTTTCGGAGCAGAACTCCGAAACAGTTAAAAATTTCTTCATCAAACTTTGCATGTATATCACTCAAGTGGTGAAATTGTGCCTTTTGCTATTTAGGAATTTTAGAAATTTTTATTTTTTACGTTTACATGGCAACAAGTTGGACTTAGGTTCTATAAGGGTGGTGTTCATTTATCATGTCGAGTCCACAAATATTAATATTTTATCAGTTTGATATTAGGTCAGTACCACAGAAATTTTTCTTCATGTTAATTAAAATTATGAATATTTCTACTTTTCATGAATTGTCAACTATTTTGCAGGACATACATGTTGAATGGGAAGTCTGTTTATTGTGTACTTTTTCTGTATGTTGCATATCGTGTGAACTTCACGTTAGAGTATTACATTCACAGACATTATTTTTCTATCACATTTACATGATTTAATAATCTTCAAGAACCAACACTTGTCGTAAGAGGAGATTAACAGGATTGGGTGGACAGGCTCGGTAACTTGGTCGATACATGTCACCGTATCTCAATTGCGTGGATCAATGCACATGATCTCAATCACTGGATTGTCTGGTCCAGACTCCTGTATTTTCAGACCGCCATCATATAGCTGGAATATTGCTGGGTGCGGCATTAAACAACAAGCAAACAAACAAACAAGATTTAAATATGATTTTAATAAAGCAGGGACCACTATATTTTTCTGTTTTACAAATAAGCATCCCCTCAGTGCTGAAGACGTTAAAACAGATGCTGTGATTGATTGATGCTTATGTTGAACCCTGTATTGTTTGTACTTTCAGTGCAAGAGGTTTGGGGATTTTTATCTCAAATCAACCTTGACAACAATGTTTTTGTGTGTGTGTAAATTGGTCTGGCCCTTACGGTCTCGTAATGATTCTTATATGGTGTTTTTTATGAGACGACAAAGAGTTATAGTGTTTTATAAACATCTTGATTATATTGTAACATGCTATGACGTGAGCCCCTGTATACATATATGTACACTATTGAGACCACAACCTTTTAATTTTCATTTGTTTTTCAAAAAGGAGCTTGACTAAATGCAAGGTATGATATGGGCCTGTTTCGTCAAACCTTTGAAATATTAGTAGGAAAATTATCGGGCTTTCAAATAGCAGGATAGATGTTGTCAAACGGATAGTTATTTCACAAATTTGTAACTGAAGAACTGATATTGCCAAACAAATATTTGTAAAAGGCAGACCATTATAAAAGTGTACGAATAGAATATTACTCTATTTTTTACATTCTCCGTCACACATCAACTGACGATGATCAAGTTTTCCAGATGTGAGCAGTCGTTAGGTTAACAGCATCCTCTTAAGGTTGTGATAATGTGTTTTATTCCAGCAAATAATGTTTTTTAGTTTACCTGTCAGAATACATTGTTTTTCTTGTGTTTCTTTCAATTCTGTATATAGTAGGGAAAGGGCTTGTTATTAATGTGTGTATTGGTTACAAAGTGTGTGTAAATATTTTTACCATGGTCAATAGAGTATTTATTTTCTTGGAGAGATCTGATGTGACCAGAACTGTTCACTATTTCCAGTGTTAATTGTCTCAACACACGTGCCCAATGACTATGTGTTGGGTGGGCATATTATCAGCATATGAAAACTGGGTCCTTTCGGTTTGAGAATTTGAATATCTGAGTAGGATTTGAACCCATTTTGTTTTTGGATGAGAATAGGGACCCAGTGCTTAGCAAAGTAGATATCAGAGGGCAAAATTGTACAAAATGGTATACGATGCAACATTTAACATGGGGTATTTTTTATATTTTGAAAGATTTTTCACAGTTCTAAACTGAAAAATTAAAAGCTTCATTTCGGATGGAAGAAAATGAAAGAAAAAACATTCGTAATTTTGTTTTTCTTTCTTGAAATAGATCATTCTTACAGGGCGATAATATGCAAGAAAAAGTACTATGAAAAAATCTTTTGCAAGACAACCTTGCAGATACATATGATCTGTTGGAAAGAAAATAGTTTGTCTTTTCGACAAAATTTGTTAAAACAAATAATTCTGTGGGTTTCATCACATTTGTGAGTGGTAGTGGTTTATAGTCACATCAATTAATTCCACTGGTGGCGGTTCTCACAGAAGTACACCCTATACCAAAATACCCATCAATCTGAAATGGTGAAGAATCACTTTACTTACTGCTGGTTGATGTAACATTCAGGGTTGGGGCTCAAGATGTTTATATAGAAGCCCAGGTGTTGGATCATTGATCACTTCAGATTGGTACTTTGTTCCATGTTTGGGGCTGCCAACTTTTGTAGTTTGGCCCAAATCATGATTAAATATTAGTGATCAACCATTTCATATTCTGGGGAGGCATGGGAACTTATTGAAAAATATAAACTGGAAAATTCTTGAAAATAATAATTATGTTTTAGACTTTGGAAAAAAAAGAAGAAAATGCCTGTCACAAAAAATACATTGTTGCAAGGTGTTTTTATTCAGGCTCCTAGTTTAAAAAAACACATTCTGGTTATGAAGCTGAAAAAATTCTAATCTCGATACAGAATCCCAGTTCCCCAAACATCAAATGGATGGTCCCTCATATTAAACTGGTTCTTAGATTGTGTGAGGGGTAAAGTGTTTAATGAACATGTAGAATATCTGCATAATAATTCTTGTTCAGGGCTTCTTGGACAGATATCAGTGCCCAGATAATGAATATGTAAATTTGTAAATATGTATATATAAAGTTGTCATGGCAATCGCCACAGTGCCTCCAAAGTCAATGTCTTCCAACATGTACTATAGCAATATTCATATTCAGTAATAAAGACTATTTATCATATTCTTCTTGTTTTATAATGCTTTTTTCATGTGTTTACCTATCTGCAAAGGACATCGCCACCTGTGACAATAGAGATTATTGTACAAGCATGTGTGTTATACTGATAAAACACGTTTCAGAATTCTTGTATTTCTAAATAGAGAGTGCGGTAATATATGAATTAATACATGTTTTGTAAAACCAGTATGACACACGTTAGTGTAATCATTTTTTATTACCCAACCCATTATTTCTTATTCTTTAGGGCTCCCCTTAAGAAAAACACGCTGATCACAACCGTGGTCTTAGTGAGTGAGTGGGTTGGGTTTAACGCCTGCTTTTAACAGTATTCCAGTTATATCACGCCGTGTCATCTTAATGTGGGAGGAAAGCCCGAAGTGATGTAGTTCTCAGAAGTTTACCACTTCGGTGAAACCCACGAGCACGGGTATGGTGCTGACAAACCTAGAAACATAATCAGGGCGAACCAGGGTTCCAACCCACAATCATAGGTATCTGGCGTGCCCAAGGGACGCAACTCTGCACAGCGAATCGCGGCACCTTAGACGATTGGGCCACCTGTGCCCCCCTGTGGTCTTAGAAAAGCATAATTGTCTAACGACGTCAACAATCTTCAGCTATGACGTCATATCGAGTGTGACGTCATAAACACCCCCAAATTATGGACCACGCTCCACTGCAAAGAAGTTTCAGCTGAAAAAAGGAAAATATCCATTCTCATCCCTGAACACAACAAAGACGTTTGGATGTATTAATTTTAAAGTTTAATGAAGCAGTTGTTTTTTATCCTTTGACCATTACCGTTAACTTACAAATAAGTTATAAATCAAGCAAGACAGAACACTGAAAAGCTGGGGGACCTACACTCTCCATTCCTTGGCGTTCAAGTGCCGATCTTTTTGGAAATGAAGGCATCCGATTTGTGATTGGTCAATTGGCTTTCAGGAATCAAGTAACAAAATGTATCACCAAGTGAGTTTTACTGCTGTTACTCCTTTATTTTTAGTGTACCAGATCCCATATAAATTTTTTTGAATGTATAAATGTTTAGAATACTTTGAAAAGGGATGTGCAGAACTTTGCACCCCGATAGTTATTTCCCTTGTTTGCCAGGTACAAACTGCGCCATGTTCAACAGACTCTGGACACAACATCTTGGATGGATTTGTATCAGATATGATATCCAAAAAATCCATATGGACCCATAAAATTTGTGTCATATCAGCACTAAAACTTGGAACGAAAAGAGTTAAATATACATAAAACAGACCAGCATCGATCCTCAAAACAACAAATAATTTCAAATACAAAAATGTAAGTAATGCAAATCTGTGACGAGGAAGCTACACTAAGTTACACAAAGTTACCATACAGAGTGAAATCTTTGGTGAAATGCAATCTCATTAAAATCAGGTCTAAGTTCTTGCTGCCGCTAAACAAAGATCTGAGGACAACCCATTACGGGTCACGTCAGAATGACCTTTCGCAAACTTTGACCAACCACTGAAATAATTACAATAAGTCGATATCAGCCAATTAGAAAGCAGCTTTCTCGAGACTTTAAGGCACTTGTTTCAACCTTGTGACTCTATTTCAGACTACGCTTGAAAAATATGTTGACAAAGTTCTCAATTAAAATTTTGAAATCTGAACAAACATTCCGGAATGTCTAATATATGGTTGAGATAGTATGGCAGGGCTTCCCACGTACTGTGCAACGCCTCCTCCGACCAAATCAGTTGTACGGACGTAACTGTCGTTCAGAACACACCGTGTTAACGTTTTCATGGTTGCATGATTAGAAAACACAACCCGACTGCCACTTTCGCGATCTGGTAAATGACGCTTTGATTGGTCGGATGAAAGGTTGTTCTGACGTGACCCGTAATGGGATGTCCTCAGATCTTTGTTTAGCGATAGAACTAAGATCTGATTTTGATGAGATTAAGTGAAATGGCTCCAGTCTTATTTTCGTTCAACAAAGAATTCATGTAACAGTTTTAAGATGAATAATGAATAACATAACAAATTAAACGCCCCGTACAGTGAACACTGTCACTTCTGGTATACTAGTATAGATTTCTGAAGTCGAGGCAGTTGCTACAGCAGCTTGACATAGACGACCAGATCCGAAAGCCACAATAGACAAAAAATAAAAATAGTTTAACATCCTGACATTTCGCTATTACTCCTGTAAAGAACATACAAATTGCTAGGCATAACTTGATATTTTATATTTTGGATTTAAATTAAAACAAAGTTGAAAAATCTTTCAAAAAACAGCTGAAGCATCCATCTTTTATTAAATATTAGATCAATTAAAATCCAAGAGTATGGTTTTACGCTGCTTTTAGCAATATTCCAGCAATATCACGGCGGGGGACACAAGAAATGGGCTTCACACATTGTACCCATGTCGGGAATCGAACCTGGGTCTTCGGCGTGACGAGCTAACGCTTTAACCACAAGGCTACCCAACCGCCCCTAAAATCCAAGAAACAGAAAGTACCTTTGTAGTATACTTAAAAAGACTAACATAATATATTTTGTAGTTGAGTTTATATCATACTCAGATTTCTTGAGTTGGCCTGTAACAGATGCGGAGACACACAGCAGAAATATTGCACATTATACTGGTGAAATGAAGGACTACAATAAATAATGTCATCGCCAAGTTTCTCTGAGATTCACGATGCTTGTCAGGTATCTTGAAATAAACACCAGGCCACCTGAAATCAGATAGAATATGCATGCAATTTGTTAATAATATTAATAATAATAAAAAGAAGAAGAAAAAAGAAGAAGAATGTGTGTACTCATATTGTGCTAAACTCTAATCTCACACAATGAGTGAATGAGTGAGTTGGGTTTAACGCTGCTTTTAACATTATTCCAGTTATATTGCGGCGTGTCAGCTTAATGTGGGAGGAAAGCCCGAAGTGATGCAGGTCTCAGACGTTTACCACTTCGGTGAAACCCACGAGCACGGGTATGGTGCTGACAAACCTAGAAACATAATCGGGGCGAACCGGGATTGGAACCCACAATCATAGGTTTCTGGCATGCCCAAGGGACGCAACTCTGCACAGCGAATCGCGGTGCCTTAGACGACTGGGCCACCGTGCCCCTATCTCACACAATGTGTATGCTCAATTCGACAACATTATTTTGTCATTTTCAGCTCCCTGGGGAGTATACAAGTCAAACTGCCTGTCAGGCACTAGAAGGTTGACAGCCACATTACCATCATAAATACACCAGGAAAAATGTTAAGTACCACGCAGATATTTTCGAATAATCCAAACATGTATCTTGGAAAAATGTGATGACATTGACCTCATTATAAATATCCGAGATTCTTTCAATACCTTATGAAATGTTGGGTATCTGATTGGCCGAAAAAGACCAGACAAACTGCAATGACAGCATGCACTGCAAAAAGGTTGGCACAGTGCCAACAATTTAACCAGATATTTGGTAGTGTTATTGCTTCATGAACAAGTATGGTTGGTGGGGAGACAAGTATGGGTGGCGGGGAGACAAGTATGGGTGATGGGGAGACAAGCATGGGTGGTGGGGAGACAAGTATGGGTGGTGGGGAGACAAGTATGGGTGGTGGGGAGACAAGCATGGGTTCTGGGGAGACAAGCATGGGTGGTGGGGAGACAAGTATGGGTGGCGGGGAGACAAGTATGGGTGGTATGGGTGGTGGGGAGACAAGTATGGGTGGTGGGGAGACAAGCATGGGTGGTGGGGAGACAAGTATGGGTGGTGGGGAGACAAGTATGGGTGGTGGGGAGACAAGCATGGGTTCTGGGGAGACAAGCATGGGTGGTGGGGAGACAAGCATGGGTGGTGGGGAGACAAGTATGGGTTCTGGGGAGACAAGTATGGGTGGTGGGGAGACAAGTATGGGTGGTGGGGAGACAAGCATGGGTGGTGGGGAGACAAGTATGGGTGGCGGGGAGACAAGTATGGGTGGTATGGGTGGTGGGGAGACAAGTATGGGTGGTGGGGAGACAAGCATGGGTGGTGGGGAGACAAGTATGGGTGGTGGGGAGACAAGTATGGGTGGTGGGGAGACAAGCATGGGTTCTGGGGAGACAAGCATGGGTGGTGGGGAGACAAGTATGGGTTCTGGGGAGACAAGTATGGGTTCTGGGGAGACAAGTATGGGTGGTGGGGAGACAAGTATGGGTGGTGGGGAGACAAGTATGGGTGGTGGGGTGGGTGATGGGGAGACAAGCATGGGTGGTAGGGTGGGTGGTGGGGAGACAAGCATGGGTGGTGGGGAGACAAGCATGGGTGGTGGGGAGACAAGTATGGGTGGTGGGGAGACAAGTATGGGTGGTGGGGAGACAAGTATGGGTGGTGGGGAGACAAGTATGGGTGGTGGGGAGACAAGTATGGGTGGTGGGGAGACAAGTATGGGTGGTGGGGTGGGTGGTGGGGAGACAAGCATGGGTGGTAGGGTGGGTGGTGGGGAGACAAGCATGGGTGGTGGGGAGACAAGTATGGGTGGTGGGGAGACAAGTATGGGTGGTGGGGAGACAAGTATGGGTGGTGGGGAGACAAGTATGGGTGGTGGGGTGGGTGATGGGGAGACAAGCATGGGTGGTAGGGTGGGTGGTGGGGAGACAAGCATGGGTGGTGGGGAGACAAGCATGGGTGGTGGGGAGACAAGTATGGGTGGTGGGGTGGGTGGTGGGGAGACAAGCATGGGTGGTGGGGAGACAAGTATGGCTGGGGGGAATACAGGTATGGGTGGTGGGGAGACAAGCATGGGTGGTGGGGAGACAAGTATGGCTGGGGGGAATACAGGTATGGGTGGTGGGGAGACAAGCATGGGTGGTGGGGAGACAAGCATGGGTGGTGGGGAGACAAGTATGGGTGGTGGGGAGACAAGTATGGGTGGTGGGGAGACAAGCATGGGTGGTGGGGAGACAAGTATGGGTGGTGGGGAGACAAGCATGGGTGGTGGGGAGACAAGTATGGGTGGTGGGGAGACAAGCATGGGTGGTGGGGAGACAAGTATGGGTGGTAGGGAGACAAGCATGGGTGGTGGGGAGACAAGCATGGGTGGTGGGGAGACAAGCATGGGTGGTAGGGAGACAAGCATGGGTGGTGGGGAGACAAGTATGGGTGGTAGGGAGACAAGTATGGGTGGTGGGGAGACAAGTATGGGTGGTAGGGAGACAAGTATGGGTGGTGGGGAGACAAGTATGGGTGGTGGGGAGACAAGTATGGGTGGTGGGGAGACAAGTATGGGTGGTGGGGAGACAAGTATGGGTGGTGGGGAGACAAGTATGGGTTCTGGGGAGACAAGTATGGGTTCTGGGGAGACAAGTATGGGTTCTGGGGAGACAAGTATGGGTGGTGGGGAGACAAGCATGGGTGGTGGGGAGACAAGTATGGGTTCTGGGGAGACAAGTATGGGTTCTGGGGAGACAAGTATGGGTGGTGGGGAGACAAGTATGGGTGGTGGGGAGACAAGCATGGGTGGTGGGGAGACAAGCATAGGTTCTGGGGAGACAAGCATGGGTGTGGGAATACAGGTATGGGTGGTGGGGAGACAAGTATGGGTGGTGGGGAGACAAGTATGGGTGGTGGGGAGACAAGTATGGGTGGTGGGGAGACAAGTATGGGTTCTGGGGAGACAAGTATGGGTGGTGGGGAGACAAGTATGGGTGGTGGGGAGACAAGTATGGGTGGTGGGGAGACAAGCATGGGTGGTGGGGAGACAAGTATGGGTGGTGGGGAGACAAGTATGGGTGGTGGGGAGACAAGCATGGGTGGTGGGGAGACAAGTATGGGTGGTATGGGTGGTGGGGAGACAAGTATGGGTGGTGGGGAGACAAGTATGGGTGGTGGGGAGACAAGCATGGGTGGTGGGGAGACAAGTATGGGTGGTGGGGAGACAAGTATGGGTTCTGGGGAGACAAGTATGGGTGGTGGGGAGACAAGTATGGGTGGTGGGGAGACAAGTATGGGTGGTGGGGAGACAAGCATGGGTGGTGGGGAGACAAGTATGGGTGGTGGGGAGACAAGTATGGGTGGTGGGGAGACAAGCATGGGTGGTGGGGAGACAAGTATGGGTGGTATGGGTGGTGGGGAGACAAGCATGGGTGGTGGGGAGACAAGTATGGGTGGTATGGGTGGTGGGGAGACAAGCATGGGTGGTGGGGAGACAAGTATGGGTGGTATGGGTGGTGGGGAGACAAGCATGGGTGGTGGGGAGACAAGTATGGGTGGTGGGGAGACAAGTATGGGTGGTATGGGTGGTGGGGAGACAAGCATGGGTGGTGGGGAGACAAGCATGGGTGGTGGGGAGACAAGTATGGGTGGTATGGGTGGTGGGGAGACAAGCATGGGTGGTGGGGAGACAAGCATGGGTGGTGGGGAGACAAGCATGGGTGGTGGGGAGACAAGCATGGGTGGTGGGGAGACAAGCATGGGTGTGAGAGAGACAAGTATGGGTGGTGGGGAGACAAGTATGGGTGGTGGGGAGACAAGCATGGGTGTGAGAGAGACAAGTATGGGTGGTGGGGAGACAAGTATGGGTGGTGGGGAGACAAGCATGGGTGTGAGAGAGACAAGTATGGGTGGTGGGGAGACAAGTATGGGTGGTGGGGAGACAAGCATGGGTGTGAGAGAGACAAGCATGGGTGGTGGGGAGACAAGTATGGGTGTGAGAGAGACAAGTATGGGTGGTGGGGAGACAAGCATGGGTGTGAGAGAGACAAGCATGGGTGGTGGGGAGACAAGTATGGGTGGTGGGGAGACAAGCATGGGTGGTGGGGAGACAAGCATGGGTGTGAGAGAGACAAGTATGGGTGGTGGGGAGACAAGTATGGGTGGTGGGGAGACAAGTATGGGTGTGAGAGAGACAAGCATGGGTGGTGGGGAGACAAGTATGGGTGTGAGAGAGACAAGTATGGGTGGTGGGGAGACAAGCATGGGTGTGAGAGAGACAAGTATGGGTGTGAGAGAGACAAGCATGGGTGTGAGAGAGACAAGTATGGGTGGTGGGGAGACAAGCATGGGTGGTGGGGAGACAAGCATGGGTGGTGGGGAGACAAGCATGGGTGGTGGGGAGACAAGTATGGGTGTGAGAGAGACAAGTATGGGTGTGAGAGAGACAAGTATGGGTGGTGGGGAGACAAGTATGGGTGGTGGGGAGACAAGTATGGGTGTGAGAGAGACAAGTATGGGTGTGAGAGAGACAAGCATGGGTGGTGGGGAGACAAGTATGGGTGTGAGAGAGACAAGTATGGGTGGTGGGGAGACAAGCATGGGTGTGAGAGAGACAAGTATGGGTGGTGGGGAGACAAGCATGGGTGTGAGAGAGACAAGTATGGGTGGTGGGGAGACAAGTATGGGTGGTGGGGAGACAAGCATGGGTGTGAGAGAGACAAGCATGGGTGGTGGGGAGACAAGTATGGGTGGTGGGGAGACAAGCATGGGTGGTGGGGAGACAAGCATGGGTGTGAGAGAGACAAGCATGGGTGGTGGGGAGACAAGCATGGGTGTTATAGAGACAAGTATGGGTGGTGGGGAGACAAGTATGGGTGGTGGGGAGACAAGCATGGGTGGTGGGGAGACAAGTATGGGTGGTGGGGAGACAAGCATGGGTGTGAGAGAGACAAGCATGGGTGGTGGGGAGACAAGCATGGGTGTTATAGAGACAAGTATGGGTGGTGGGGAGACAAGTATGGGTGGTGGGGAGACAAGCATGGGTGTGAGAGAGACAAGCATGGGTGGTGGGGAGACAAGCATGGGTGTTATAGAGACAAGTATGGGTGGTGGGGAGACAAGTATGGGTGGTGGGGAGACAAGCATGGGTGGTGGGGAGACAAGTATGGGTGGTGGGGAGACAAGCATGGGTGTGAGAGAGACAAGCATGGGTGGTGGGGAGACAAGCATGGGTGTGAGAGAGACAAGTATGGGTGGTGGGGAGACAAGCATGGGTGGTGGGGAGACAAGCATGGGTGTGAGAGAGACAAGTATGGGTGGTGGGGAGACAAGTATGGGTGGTGGGGAGACAAGTATGGGTGTGAGAGAGACAAGCATGGGTGGTGGGGAGACAAGTATGGGTGTGAGAGAGACAAGTATGGGTGGTGGGGAGACAAGCATGGGTGTGAGAGAGACAAGTATGGGTGGTGGGGAGACAAGTATGGGTGGTGGGGAGACAAGCATGGGTGTTATAGAGACAAGTATGGGTGGTGGGGAGACAAGTATGGGTGGTGGGGAGACAAGTATGGGTGGTGGGGAGACAAGTATGGGTGGTGGGGAGACAAGTATGGGTGTTATAGAGACAAGTATGGGTGGTGGGGAGACAAGCATGGGTGTTTTAGAGACAAGTATGGGTGTTATAGAGACAAGTATGGGTGGTGGGGAGACAAGCATGGGTGGTGGGGAGACAAGCATGGGTGTTATAGAGACAAGTATGGGTTCTGGGGACCTACTCTGCCCTCACATCCTCACCTTCAATATCCTATTCACTTCAGCGTTGTGGAGTGCCCATCTTGGCTGGTTTCTTCAGGTAGTGGTAGTTAGGCAGGATTTTAGCTAGAAAGTCGATCTGTAGTGTCTGTGCCTGAAATTAACATATTGACATATTGTCATGACGCCTGTACAAGCCACCACCACATAGCTGGAATATTGACGAGTGCTGTGTTAAACAAAATGTAAAAAGAAAAAAAACACAAAAAAGACAAGTTTGACTGTAAGAAGAGCTGAAAAAGGGCTGTTTAATATCAAGTTAAATTTAATCAGAAGACTTTGTGGAAAGTTAATGAAATTGTACATTTTGAAATTGTTTTGAATATCTATGACTTTTTTAGGGAACTATTAAAACTTATAAAACAATCATCACAGACAACCACAACATGGGCACGTTGGTGACAAACCAAAGATCATAACCAGGCCAAATATCGGATTTGAACCCTCAACAATAAGCCCCATATCTCAGATTTGAAACCTTAACAATAAGCCCCATATCTCAGATTTGAAACCTTAACAATAAGCCCCATATCTCAGATTTGAACCCTCAACAATAAGCCCCATATCTCAGATTTGAACCCTCAACAATAAGCCCCATATCTCAGATTTGAATCCTCAACAATAAGCCCCATATCTCAGATTTGAACCCTCAACAATAAGCCCCATATCTCAGATTTGAAACCCTAACAATAAGCCCCATATCTCAGATTTGAATCCTCAACAATAAGCCCCATATCTCAGAGTTGAATCCTCAACAATAAGCCCCATATCTCAGCCTTCAATCCGCAACAACCAGGCCAAATCTATGAGTATGTTATAACGCAGCTCTTGGCATCCTTCCTCCTTCAGACATGGGAGGACATCACCAATGTGGGCTATTGATAGCTACAACACTGCCCACCACTGATGGGAATAGCCGTGCATTGGAAATAAATATACCGTATTCAACGTGATAAGCGCCCTGCTCTAATAAGCGCCCAGGGCGATATTTGCTAATATATTGGCTAGTGAACAATCCCAATTAGCACCCTTCAGATTGATCAATGTACACAAGACTTATTTATTCGTGTATAATACGCACTCGTGTGTTATATGCAACCTTAATTACGGACAGTTAAATTATGGAAAAATATATCTGTTGTGTACAATACGCACAGACTTTTCTTTTGTATCATTTCAAGCTGTCAGCATAAATCACGAAATTTAGATCTTTCAACTCTTTCACCAAAATTATATCCTAATAAGAGCCCCCTATTTCTAATTTTGAGAGTGCCCTTGGCGCTTATGTTCAGATTGAAAATATTGTTCCTATCAAGCCAGAGAACTTCATTCACAGTAATGATCTTTCTTGCGAGTATAAATCAGCTGTCTTGGAACAAAACACAGTTGGGTCTCCTCAGACTTAAACTGTATGGTAAGGATGATGAGAGATGGTAGTATCTGTCCATCATTATATCTCAAGGTGGCTTTGTGTCATCACTGGAGACAGTTTGTAGTGCATTGTGGCATCCTATGTGTCAAAGACTTACAAATAGGCTGAAAGATAGGTACCAAGGTACGACTCCTATCTAACCCAATCATCCAGTGTTCTCTTGTCTAAAATGCTACTTTAATGTTTGATTGACAAAGAACTTTCAACTGACCGGTGGTCGCTCCCTCTGTGTCCGGCGTTCACAATTCGACCCATGGATGACCGTGTTCTCCGGGAGCTTTTCGTTACTGGTCACATGACACAGACCCCCCACAATGCACCCTGATGTCAGCTCCACCTGGCGGCCAACTTTGGCTGAAATCAAATAGTCCAATCAATATTCTGCAATATAGCCTGAGTGGGCGGGTGGCTGCTTGTACTATTTCAGGAATAATACCGATTTTATAGTGCTAGTCCACTCAGATACCATGTCGCAGTTTTACATGAATAGTGAGTGAGTGAGTGAGTTGGGTTTAACGCCGCTTTTAACATTATTCCAGTTATATCATGGCGTGTCAGCTTAATGTGGGAGGAAAGCCCGAAGTGATGCAGGTCTTAGAAGTTTACCACTTCGGTGAAACCCACGAGCACGGGTATGGTGCTGACAAACCTAGAAACATAATCGGGGTGAACCGGGATTCGAACCCACAATCATAGGTTTCTGGCGTGTCCAGGGGACGCAACTCTGCACAGCGATTTACATGAATACCCTACTCAGACCAAGTGTACAGGCTCTGAGCCAACCAGTGCTTGCTTTAGCCCATTAATACCGAGTCAGGCAGGGTAACAACAAGTACCATCTTTTAACTTCTTTTGGTATGATGCAGCCAGGTATCGAACCCACCACCGTCTTCACTCCGGGCAGACGCTCTACCACTAGACCACGGAAGCGGTCCAATCAGCAGAAACCTATGTTTGGTTGGTTGGTTTGTTGTTTAACGCCGCACTCAGCAATATTCCAGCTATATGACAGCGGTCTGTAAATAATAGACTCTGGACCTGACAATCCAGTGATTGATATCATGAGCATCGATCCACGCAATTGGAATCAATGACATGCATCAACAAATCAGGGAGCCTGACAACCCGATCCCGTTAGTCGCCTCTTACGACAAGCATAGTCGCCTTTTACGGCAAGCATGGGTTGCTGAAGACCTATTCTAGCCCGGATCTTCACGGGTCAGAAACCTATGAACAGGACAAAGTCTGCATAATTTAAGAAACGACCAAACCCTTTTGAAATTATGGATGGAGATTTTCAAATATTTTCAAACAAATGAGAACTAGACCACAACACATTTTGGACATATTACAACCCTAAATGTACATATTGAAGCTCCAAAGAGCAAAAAGCTGAATTTATCGGTTTTCAGGAAACATTTTCTTGATTTGCACATGATAAAGCTTTTGACCCTATCTGATTTTCTCAGGTGATGTAATAAGAACAATTCGGACATTTGGTTCAAAAATCCTCTGGTATCACAGACTCACCTTTCGACTCCACAATGTTGTGATCTCCGATTTTCATACTCTCAACATCTTGGGTCAGTTAAGGAAAAGAAATACAATATGAACATGTCAGGATTGAATGGACCTCAGTGAGTGAGTGAATAAATGCCACAGTGAACAATACTCCAGCTATATCATTCAATGATCATTGTCTTACCTCCAAATGGCAAGAAAGCCACCAGCATACCTTATCAATCCATACAACCCACAAAGATCACTTCCATCAGGAGATATACACCTTTTGGCTGTTCCACACTATAAACTAAAAGGCTGTGGATAGAGGCCTTTCAGCACAACTGGGCCTTGTCTCTGGAATAATCTTCCTATTCATATCAGACTTTCAAAAACGTATGAATCTTTCAAATCACAACTCAAAACACATATTTTCAATGAAGCAAACAACTTGCATGAGGCGGGTATGGCAGTGGAGAAACTGTACCACGCACCACTTCACTACAGCTATCTGTAGGAATTGATTTATTGTTTAACTGTAGCGCTTTGCGGCATATAAGTACACATCATCATCATCATTATCAATATTATTTTTATTTTTATTTTTATTATTATTATTATTATTATTGCTTGTTCATGTATATGACAGGCAAGCCAGTGGCTGATAGCATGAGGCAATAATCAATGTCATTTAGTTATCAGATTTACTTGGGTCCATCTATCTGCAAGTCCTGGGGACATAATCTTGTCTCATGGGTCTCATGGTACATATTATTCATTTTCAATTTTTATGCGCATAGGATGCAATATTTTCAGCTTGGCCAAACCCTTCAATCATTAATTTCAGAATGAACTCCCTCATTGCCACCTTCAAGTGGTCTCCTCAGACTTAAACTGTATGGTAAGGATGATGAGAGATGGTAGTATCTGTCCATCATTGTATCTCATGGTGGGTTTGTGTCATCACTGGAGACAGTTCTAAACTCAGTTGGGTACCCTTGCACTTCTACAAGACAAGTGGGTACCCTTGCACTTCTACAAGTCAAGTGGGAACCCTTGTCACTTCTACAAGACAAGTGGGTATCCTTGTCACTTCTGAAAGTCAAGTGGGAACCCTTGTCACTTCTACAAGTCAAGTGGGTATCCTTGTCACTTCTACAAGACAAGTGGGAACCCTTGTCACTTCTACAAGTCAAGTGGTATCCTTGTCACTTCTACAAGACAAGTGGGAACCCTTGTCACTTCTACAAGTCAAGTGGGTATCCTTGTCACTTCTACAAGCGAGTGGGTACCCTTGTCACTTCTACAAGACAAGTGGGAACCCTTGTCACTTCTACAAGACAAGTGGGAACCCTTGTCACTTCTACAAGTCAAGTGGGTATCCTTGTCACTTCTACAAGCGAGTGGGTACCCTTGCCACTTCTACAAGTCAAGTGGGTACCCTTGTCACTTCTACAAGTCAAGTGGGAACCCTTGCCTCTTCTACAAGTCAAGTGGGAACCCTTGCCTCTTCTACAAGTCAAGTGGGTACCCTTGTCACTTCTACAAGACAAGTGGGTATCCTTGTCACTTCTACAAGCGAGTGGGTACCCTTGTCACTTCTACAAGTCAAGTGGGTACCATTGCCACCTCTACAAGTCAAGTGGGTATCCTTGTCACTTCTACAAGTCAAGTGGTACCCTTGTAACTTCTACAAGACAAGTGGGTATCCTTGTCACTTCTACAAGTCAAGTGGGTATCCTTGTCACTTCTACAAGTCAAGTGGTACCCTTGCCACTTCTACAAGACAAGTGGGTTACCTTGCCTCTTCTAAAAGTCAAGTGGGTACCCTTGTCACCTCTACAAGTCAAGTGGGTATCCTTGTCACCTCTACAAGTCAAGTGGGTATCCTTGTCACTTCTACAAGCGAGTGGGTACCCTTGCCACTTCTACAAGTCAAGTGGGTACCCTTGTCACTTCTACAAGTCAAGTGGGAACCCTTGCCTCTTCTACAAGTCAAGTGGGAACCCTTGCCTCTTCTACAAGTCAAGTGGGTACCCTTGTCACTTCTACAAGACAAGTGGGTATCCTTGTCACTTCTACAAGCGAGTGGGTACCCTTGTCACTTCTACAAGTCAAGTGGGTACCATTGCCACCTCTACAAGTCAAGTGGGTATCCTTGTCACTTCTACAAGTCAAGTGGTACCCTTGTAACTTCTACAAGACAAGTGGGTATCCTTGTCACTTCTACAAGTCAAGTGGGTATCCTTGTCACTTCTACAAGACAAGTGGGTACCCTTGCCTCTTCTACAAGTCAAGTGGGTACCCTTGTCACCTCTACAACTCAAGTGGGTACCCTTGTCACTTCTACAAGACAAGTGGGTATCCTTGTCACTTCTACAAGTCAAGTGGGTACCCTTGTCACTTCTACAAGTGAAGTGGTACCCTTGCCACTTCTACAAGTCAAGAGGGTACCATTGCCACCTCTACAAGTCAAGTGGGTATCCTTGTCACTTCTACAAGTCAAGTGGTACCCTTGTAACTTCTACAAGACAAGTGGGTATCCTTGTCACTTCTACAAGTCAAGTGGTTCCCTTGTCACTTCTACAAGTCAAGTGGGTACCATTGCCACCTCTACAGGTCAAGTGGGTATCCTTGCCACTTCTACAAGTCAAGTGGTACCAGGGTTACTGCTACAAGTCAAGTGGTACCAGGGTTACTGCTACAAGTCAAATGGTACCAGGGTAACTGCTACAAGTCAAGTGGTACCAGGGTTACTGCTACAAGTCAAGTGGTACCAGGGTTACTGCTACAAGTCAAGTGGTACCCTTGCCACTTCTACAAGTCAAGTGGGTACCCTTGTCACTTCTACAAGTCAAGTGGGTACCCTTGTCACTTCTACAAGTCAAGTGGGTACCCTTGTCACTTCTACAAGACAAGTGGGTACCCTTGCCACTTGTACAAGACAAGTGGGTACCCTTGCCACTTCTACAAGTCAAGTGGTACCAGGGTTACTGCTACAAGTCAAGTGGTACCAGGGTTACTGCTACAAGTCAAGTGGTACCAGGGTTACTGCTACAAGTCAAGTGGTACCAGGGTTACTGCTACAAGTCAAGTGGTACCCTTGCCACTTCTTCAAGTCAAGTGGTACCAGGGTTACTGCTACAAGTCAAGTGGTACCAGGGTTACTGCTACAAGTCAAGTGGTACCAGGGTTACTGCTACAAGTCAAGTGGTACCAGGGTTACTGCTACAAGTCAAGTGGTACCAGGGTTACTGCTACAAGTCAAGTGGTACCCTTGTCACTTCTACAAGTCAAGTGGTACCAGGGTTACTGCTACAAGTCAAGTGGTACCAGGGTTACTGCTACAAGTCAAGTGGTACCAGGGTTACTGCTACAAGTCAAGTGTTACCAGGGTAACTGCTACAAGCCAAGTGGTACCAGGGTTACTGCTACAAGTCAAGTGGTACCAGGGTTACTGCTACAAGTCAAGTGGTACCAGGGTTACTGCTACAAGTCAAGTGGTACCAGGGTTACTGCTACAAGTCAAGTGGTACCAGGGTTACTGCTACAAGTCAAGTGGTACCAGGGTTACTGCTACAAGTCAAGTGGTACCCTTGCCACTTCTACAAGTCAAGTGGGTACCCTTGTCACTTCTACAAGTCAAGTGGGTACCCTTGTCACTTCTACAAGTCAAGTGGGTACCCTTGCACTTCTACAAGTCAAGTGGGTACCCTTGCACTTCTACAAGACAAGTGGGTACCATTGCCACTTCTACAAGACAAGTGGGTACCCTTGCCACTTCTACAAGTCAAGTGGTACCAGGGTTACTGCTACAAGTCAAGTGGTACCAGGGTTACTGCTACAAGTCAAGTGGTACCAGGGTTACTGCTACAAGTCAAGTGGTACCCTTGCCACTTCTACAAGTCAAGTGGTACCAGGGTTACTGCTACAAGTCAAGTGGTACCCTTGCCACTTCTACAAGTCAAGTGGTACCAGGGTTACTGCTACAAGTCAAGTGGTACCAGGGTTACTGCTACAAGTCAAGTGGTACCAGGGTTACTGCTACAAGTCAAGTGGTACCAGGGTTACTGCTACAAGTCAAGTGGTACCAGGGTTACTGCTACAAGTCAAGTGGTACCAGGGTTACTCCTACAAGTCAAGTGGTACCCTTGCCACTTCTACAAGTCAAGTGGTACCAGGGTTACTGCTACAAGTCAAGTGGTACCCTTGCCACTTCTACAAGTCAAGTGGTACCAGGGTTACTGCTACAAGTCAAGTGGTACCAGGGTTACTGCCCTGTTTGTTATATTCCAGGCACATACTGGCAGCCTAAAACTATTCAAGTCTGAACCAGACAAAACAATGATTGATATATAGGCTCCGATCCATGTCATCGTGATACTATATCAACCAAGTCAACGAGCCTGACCACACGCTCCAGTAAGATGTATTGTATGTCAGGTGCATGAGCTGCGGGGTACCTGTTCTAACCCGACACTCACGCAGGGCTTGCCACTACTAGATAAAGGATACGTGCGCTGACTTCAAACACGTTGTTGTTGCCGATGATCATGACCTGCTGGTTGTGATCCTTCTCCTCGCATCTGCAACATCATCAACATCTGTAAACTCATTGGGGGGTGCCGACACAGGTTACAGGATTGTACCAACAGAAAGATCTTATATGAATAGGTACTTTGCATTCTCAACAATCTACCTACAGAACAAGATTGTGTAGTGTATCATGTTGACAACTTCTGAAGAATTATGTTGTTAGGATTAGAGTTAGCTATCTCACCTCTTTGAAACAATTGTTGCGAAATCCAATGTAATCTCATCTTCCCGAGGAAAGAGAGTTAACATCAGCTTCCCGAGGCAAGAGAGTTAACATCATCTTCCCGAGGCAAGAGTTAACATCATCTTCCCGAGGCAAGAGTTAACATCATCTTCCCGAGGCAAGAGAGTTAACATCATCTTCCCGAGGCAAGAGAGTTTACATCATCTTCCCGAGGCAAGAGTTAACATCATCTTCCCGAGGCAAGAGTTAAGATCATCTTCCCGAGGCAAGAGTTAACATCATCTTCCCGAGGCAAGAGTTAACATCATCTTCCCGAGGCAAGAGAGTTAACATCATCTTCCCGAGGCAAGAGAGTTAACATCATCTTCCCGAGGCAAGAGTTAACATCATCTTCCCGAGGTAAGAGTTAACATCATCTTCCCGAGGCAAGAGTTAACATCATCTTCCCGAGGCAAGAGTTAACATCATCTTCCCGAGGCAAGAGTTAACATCATCTTCCCGAGGGAAGAGTTAACATCATCTTCCCGAGGCAAGAGAGTTAACATCATCTTCCCGAGGCAAGAGAGTTAACATCATCTTCCCGAGGCAAGAGAGTTAACATCATCTTCCCGAGGAAAGAGAGTTAACATCATCTTCCCGAGGCAAGAGTTAACATCATCTTCCCGAGGCAAGAGTTAACATCATCTTCCCGAGGCAAGAGTTAACATCATCTTCCCGAGGCAAGAGTTCACATCATCTTCCCGAGGGAAGAGTTAACATCATCTTCCCGAGGCAAGAGAGTTAACATCATCTTCCCGAGGCAAGAGTTCACATCATCTTCCCGAGGCAAGAGTTAACATCATCTTCCCGAGGCAAGAGAGTTAACATCATCTTCCCGAGGCAAGAGTTAACATCATCTTCCCGAGGCAAGAGAGTTAACATCATCTTCCCGAGGGAAGAGTTAACATCATCTTCCCGAGGAAAGAGAGTTAACATCATCTTCCCGAGGCAAGAGAGTTAACATCATCTTCCCGAGGCAAGAGAGTTAACATCATCTTCCCGAGGAAAGAGAGTTAACATCATCTTCCCGAGGCAAGAGTTAACATCATATTCCCGAGGCAAGAGTTAAGATCATCTTCCCGAGGCAAGAGAGTTAACATCATCTTCCCGAGGAAAGAGAGTTAAGATCATCTTCCCGAGGCAAGAGTTAACATCATCTTCCCGAGGCAAGAGTTAACATCATCTCCCCGAGGCAAGAGTTAACATCATCTTCCCGAGGCAAGAGAGTTAACATCATCTTCCCGAGGCAAGAGAGTTAACATCATCTCCCCGAGGCAAGAGAGTTAACATCATCTTCCCGAGGCAAGAGAGTTAACATCATCTTCCCGAGGCAAGAGTTAACATCATCTTCCCGAGGCAAGAGTTAACATCATCTTCCCGAGGCAAGAGAGTTAACATCATCTTCCCGATGTCCAGTTTCCACCCTTGCCGAACTAGGCTGGTATTATGGAGTTACAGTTGGCTGGACTAACGAGTCTATGCATAGTCCAATCAAAATCACGCAAAAAACCTTGATTAAAAACAAGCAAAGATTTGGAAAATATCTTTTGACAACGAGTTGGCGGTGCACATGATTTGCAAATCCTGCAATCGACCGAAATCTGCACAACAGTTTACGAACCGGATTTCGATTTCGTTGCGCGATTTTAATTGGACTATGCATAGACTTGTTAGTCCAGCCAAAATGTAACTCCATAATACCAGCCTAGTTCGGCAAGGGTGGAAACTGGACTTTTAAAGTCAGTTATCATTCTTGCTTCCGGAAGATGATGTAATCAGATGTAAATCTGTATTTTCATTGAGTTTCATCTCATTCGAATGTCCGGCGCCCCAATGTACAAGACTTTGCTAGCCTAGGGCTGGTACAAATTTCCCAATTGCCCCATCGTTTTAACATTACAAGGGTATTTTATCATCAAGGGAGGGAGGGAGCGAGAGGAGAGAGAACTAGGTCCATCTGGTCCTGCTAACATTTCTTGAAAAGCACACTTTGCAATATTTCTAATTACTGTAAGCAATATTCCTTATCATCGGAGTGGATTGTTTTCACTTTGTAAGTATTAGCACACATGCAGCTATCTTCATTTATGAAAATTATCAATATGTTGTGATGCTATTTTAAAGGCCCACATGGCCTGACTTTTAAAACATCTGTAGCTAGCTAGAGATATAGATTTATCCTAAGGAAGGAGGCGCTTATACAGATATCAGTGAGTGAGTGAGTGAGTTATGTTTAACGCCGCTTTTAACAGTATTCCAGTTATATCACGGCGTGTCAGCTTAACGTGGGAGGAAAGCCCGAAGTGATGCAGTTCTCAGACGTTTACCACTTTGGTGAAACCCACGAGCAGGGGTATGGTGCTGACAAACCTAGAAACATAATCAGGGCGAACCGGGATTCGAACCCACAATCATAGGTTACTGGCATGCCCAAGAGACGCAACTCTGCACAGCGAATCGCAGCACCTCAGACGACTGCGCCACCCGTGACCCAACATTCTGTGGAAGGAAGTAACCTAACCATTGTTTTCCACAACACTTGTGGTCGACCTTTAAGTGGTGAGGACCATAGTTTGAAATCGTAGAAGTCTGGCTTCATCAATCACTTGTACCGACCTGTTGACGATCTCTACCAGCTCCTCCACAATGTTGAACTCGCCTATGATAATTGGTCCTGCCTCCGCAATTATCCGAGCTTTCGGATGGATCACGGTCCGTGTTCCTGCAAGATGAAACCACTCATTTCGTGACTCATGAAGGTTAGTTGTATTAGTATATTAAGCTTTTTGGAAGTTTTGTTTGTTGTTTAACACTGCACTCAGCAATATTCCAGCTAAATGACGGTGGTCTGTAAATAATCCAGTCTGGACCAGACAATCCAATGATTGACATCATGAGCATCAATCCACGCAATTGGGATACGATGACATGCATCAACCAAGTCAGCGAGCCTGACCACCCAATCCTGTTAGTCGCCTCATAGGACAAACATAGTCGCCTTTTACAGCAAGCATGGGTTGGTGAGGACCTATATTACATCGGACCTTCACGGGTCACTTGTTGGTAGTGATGTCATCGTACCACATATCATGTTACCAACGTATCTATAATTTTTTAATGTTTATACTATATTGATAAACATTTATGAATAGCGATACTAAAATTAATAATTCCCGGCCACAGAAACGATTACATTAATGATTACCACAGTTAAGACGGAAAATTCAATTTTAAACATATACTACTCAAAAGAAGTTAAGGATCACCTGATTCTTTCATATTACTATAGTTAATCTCTCATGTCATGACAGATTAACTTTACCATTATGAAAGAATCGGGTGATCCTTAACTTCTTTTGAGTAGTATATAATGGATCAGTCTATTTCACATAACATTAAGTTTGATTAATTACAGGTCTAGACACGACTTTTATATCTATACACATACCAAAAAATTAATTTTGTTAATAATTGATTTATACTGATATATTGTGATATTTTTGAGTTGACATATCAATACTAAACTTTCCAATCAACCTACTTTGTAGGTGCTGTCCCTTGTCTGACTAGTGGATCTAGCAACTGTTGTAGGTTAAGTAGCATCCCAGTTAACTCAATAGGATCCCGATCTGGGTTGGGTTGGTTTGTTGTTTAACGCCCCACTTAGCAGTGATTCCAGCTATATGACGGCGGTCTGTAAAATAATCGAGTCTGGACCAGACAATCCAGTGATTGATATCATGAGCATCGATCCACGCAATTGGGATCGATGGCTGAATCAACCAAGTCAGCGAGCCTGACCACCCGATCCCGTTAGTCGCCTTTTACGACAAGCGTAGTCGCCTCTTTCGGCAAGTATGGTTTGCTGAAGACCTATTCTACCCCGGAGATCTTCACGGGTCTCCCGATCAGGGAGGTGTGAACTGCTGAACCCTAACACTTTATTATGGCGTGGGTAAGGGCAATGTTTATAAAATTAGTGTTTCCAGTGTGCAAATCAAAAGATAGTGGCCTGTGGCCATCAACATTCTCATCAGTCTACAAAATAAGAAACTATGTCAGACCAATTGTCTATGATGATTCAATTGCAGAGATCATCATGATCATCACCATCCTTTAAATCTTTAATTCAAATTTGCATTCTTCATCAGACTTGAGGCCAAATATCGTCCTCTGAGCAGGTCTACACAAATCCCTGGTCAAGCAATGCAGAAGATAGACACTCACCAGAACGTTGAAACCCCCAAGAAAGGAATTGTGTTTGGACCAAACTATAGATCTCGCAGCTAAGGGACACAACTCTGTACTAAGTGCTCGTTTTTGTTTGTTTTTTGTTTAGTACTGCACTCAGCAATATATTCCAGCTATATGACGGCGGTCTTTAAACTAATCAAACATGGACCAGACAATCCAGTGATTGATATAATGAACATCAATCCACGCAATTGGGATACGATGAAATGTATCAACCAAGTCAGCGAGCCTGACCACCCGATCCCGTTTGACACCTCTTACAACAAGCATAGTCGCCTTTTACAGTAAGACCTATTCTACTCCGGTCCTTCACAGGTACAAAGTACTAGTATGTTGACAAGTAGCAGAGCATGTTTCCTTTCTGAATTTCTGGCCATTTAGGCCATGCTGATACACCTGTTTCCATGGTTACATACCAATAGTGATGTCTCCAACCAGCTCACACTCATCACAGATCACGGCACCCGGGGCTATCTTAACGCTGAAACATAACATGTTCTGCTTAACAAAAATATACAACAGAACACTTTGATGTGAGGCATCAACACAACAGCAACAAATTATCATGTCGTCCTTAAAATGACAAACAAATTAGACTTACAATGAAAATATTTTCCCATGTTTGATCAATACGGGCATGTTTAGAAAAATATGGGTTTCAATTAAATTTTTGTTTTACATCTTACACATGTTTTTGACAACTGTGCGATTACTGAATTGGATAAATATGGTCTTTCCACAGTAAACAAGTGCAATAGCCTATTCAGGCCACATGGTCACTGTGCATTCGTCACCACTCGCCCCTTTCCGTAACCTGCAAGAAGACTCGTCCCCCTATCGATGAATGTTATGTGCGAAAATACGACAAACCAATCAGAATGCGAGTATGATTTCAAATTTTTCTTCAAAGAATCCCTCAGAAATAACCTTTGATTTTACATATGTCTTGCATCTAAAAATATACTAAAGACACAGTTAAATGTGTTCAATCATACTGTATAATTCTGCACGTCCCGATGTGCTTTAAATTGCATCTGAAATATATATAATATATTGGGAAAATGTGTGAACGATTACGCAACGAGTTGACAATTGTTTTAGGTATGCCCGTTTGCGCTAAGACGGAACCTGGTCGCAAAAATGGCCACGAGAGGGGCACGAGTCGCTATTCAGCTTGTCCCGGAATAACACGAGTTGGTCACGAATGGGTCGCTGTGGTAACTGTTGCGATAAACTGGAGCATGGCACTGTCTCCCTCCCATTGTTGCGGTAAACTTTCAAACAAATTTCACGCATTTCAGGGTTTAAATAAAACTACGACTGAAAATCTAACAACATATCGAGAATGTTAAGGTAAAGTAGACCAAGTATTGAATATAAGGAGAGGTTTTGGATGTAAACTTCTTTATTATGAGGAACACAACATTTTGGAGTATATACTTACTCCTTCATGTGAATAAATGCTAGTTAATTGGCGCTGATCAGGGATTAGCAATGGACAAATGGAAGCCTATAGTTAACAGTTAAATAACATGATTGGTGATTAGCAATGGACAAATGGAAGCCAAAAGTTAACAGTGAATTAGTGCGATAGTGAGCGATCATGTCAAGAGAGATTCGGGCAAGTAGACTAGATGTGTATTGGCACAGATTATTAACCAATTATGTCTGCATCTTGGAAATAAGTGCTCTTGAAACTATTGCCATTTTATGGCTTTAGGGATGGCAATTTCATAGTCTGTATAAAGGGTGGGGGTCTGGGGCCTGGAATTTTATTGACAAAAATACATTGTACCTGAAAATTTGTGAAGAAAAGTTATTATGCTTCAAACCTTTGAAAAAAACCCAGACATTTCCTGCCACAAAAATAACATTGTTGCAATGTGTTTTTCTTCAAACAAAACTCGGGCTCGTAATTTTAAATAAAAAAAATACATGGTTTTGCAGGTGAAGCAGAAAAAATCTAATCTTGAAACAAAATACCTTGCATATTATCAGGAAATATGTAGTCTGTTCTCTTGATCATCAGTTGATCATGCCTATGTTTTTACAGTACATTTCCAAAGGACCATTTCATTCTTTTTCTGGCGAATTTACAGATATCAGTCACTTTTTTATTCAAAGAACCAAAGGCTAAGGAGAGAGTTGGGGGGAGTCTCTCCGAACGGAGAACCATACTTCCATAATTCCTCGTGTTGACAGCTCACCCTAAGCCTAAAGATCGAAGGGACACGTGTAAATAAAATATGCATTTTCCGACATCAAATATGTTTTCTTCCGATGTATATGTAGTTTTTTATGATACTTTGGGGTGTGTGTTAAAGATTCTGTAACCGCACGCGAGCTGCACCAACAGGATGCCAACGTCCTCATGATGTGCCAAAACAAGGTTTTTCGTGCCAGTAGACCTGTTACACAGCGCCTAAGAGTGAAACTTCGAACAGTATTCGGTTGAAATGTTTATCAGCTGTTTATTGAAATAACGATACATTTAAGTCCTGAATTGAAGATTAAAACCTTGAAAAATTAGGAATAGGTGCACAAATTGTTTCAAAATCTCAAATACCTTCCCCTGTTCGACGCCATTTTGGCCAAACTTCTAATCACATGACTTATTATGAGATTATTCCGTATTTCGGATAATTTACTCTTGACATAGTTTCAAATATTCCGAACTGTCATGTTTGTTTCATGTAATTATGAAATATGGCCTTATTTTAGCTATTTAGAATTAGCACTCCTTATTGTGACGTCATCGCGGATATAAATATCTTCCAAGGCCGTAAGCTCAGCACAAACGACGACGAAAAAGCAAAGGGCGAGGAGGGGAGATATGTTAAGAGCTTCTGAAGCTATCGTTTTAGACGAGAATTTTGGCCCCCAAAGCAGAGACATTTTAGCCACTATGCCAGCGTTACAAAGTACAAACATGTACGTATTGATCTTTGTGTTTTTTCGTTGTAAATTGCGATGTAATGAAAATGTTTACATTTTGTTGATGAAACCAAGATGGCTGCCATGTTTCCGATTTGCAACACATGTCACAATTTTACAATTTCTGTGTGACAACGATTCTTATTGTCATTTCGTTGTTTTTCCTGTTCGTATTTAATCTGATTCAACTTCGAGGATCACATTAGACGTTACTTGTTATGTTATATTTTTCCTTTGAGTTGCAAAAAGTCCACATGTCCCGGAAGTTCTGAGAAGATTCATGGCGTTTCAGAAATGGAACCATTGTCAGGAACTATGAATCTGACAATTCAATACTGTTGTGAGTGAGGTGTAGGTGTAAGAGTACATAAGGGTTGTGGGTTGACTTGTCAGGGTGACCTAAATTCACCTTCACCTACGTCTGTTTATGATTCACAGATCAGCTGATACGATTGTAAAGCTTTGTCACAACTTTTGGGTATTGAAACGGGAAGTAGTTTTATAAAGTAGGCTGCTGTAGGCCTATAAAACACTGCCTTATGTGTTTTGACATAATAAATAAAAGCCAATGTGGCATTTCTGTAGATGGGGACAGTTGCTCAGCGGTCTAGTACATATTGGGTTAGTTAGGTCTAAACATTGTGTGTAAAATGTTTGTGACTAGACCTAATAATAACATATAGAAAAAACCCTTAGGATTGGGTATCATTTTAAGCAGAACAGATCACATTGTATCGCAGTGATGAATTTGTATAGTTTTTATATGATTTAACCTTGAATTTGGATTGCAAGACAATAACTGCTTTCAAATGTTTTACTTCCCAAGAATCTGCCCAATAGAAAAGACGTCTCTGAAATTGTATTATTTACTGATGTTAATCACTTTCCAAACAGGTGTTAATTCTATACGTTATATTTACATTCTATTGGGATATTACTGCCAGATGTTGTACCCTTTGTCATGATTACATTGACTTAGAAACAGTAGAGGCAGGTGTATGGTTGGGGCACACCACCTGTAGTTTGATTCAAGGAACAACTCTTTACTTTTGCTGATCAATAGTGTTAAGGCATGTGGGTATTGTATGCGTAAATCACAAGGGCTAGAGCACTTAGATTCAACTAGCTGTATATTTCACAGACCTTTTAAAGAGGGACAGTGCTTCAAGTTAAGTGACCATTACCAGGCTAGGCAATGGTAGAAATTGGCAATAGTCCTATTGTCCTTGCCAAACTGCCCAATTGTTATGGTATCATAAGGACTAGTAGAAATTTGCTCCTTTTAAGGGTTTTGCTACATGTTATCATTATACCCGTAACGGACTAGTGGACTAAAACTGTTGGTTTCTATCGCTGCTAGGTGTGGAAGTGTGTGCAGCTTGTGGCATTGTTTCTGTGGAAATTCATGCCTGATTCCTTATCGGTAAGCTGTGGGAGATTTTGGGTAAAAACATAATCCCAAACAACCTTCTCCTTGTCATAAGAAACGACTTCATGCATGTCTGGTCAGCCTCAAGGACCTGGTTTATTGTGTTTCATTGTAATTTGTAAACCATAATTAAATCTACTCAACATGCAAATATATATACAGTATATTTCCATTGTATTATGGGCCGGTGGCCTGAAGTACCGTATAAATTTGTCTGTCTGTATTTTGACAATGTGGATCATTGCTCATATTATCAATAACTGGAATGTCTGACCCAGACTCGGGTATTTACAGGCGTCTGTCATAGACTTTGGCGAGACTTGTCGAGACTTTGGCGATTAGCAAAACTAGGTCACAAGGAAGAGAATTTTATTGACGTCAACTTCTTTATTATGAGGAACACAACGTTTTGGAGTATATGCTTACTCCTTCATCGGGTGAATGAGTAAGCATATACTCTGAAACATTGTGTTCCTCATGTAGTGGCCATAAAATTTCCGAGTCCCGTGATGGGATTTGAACCACAGACCTTCTGATCAGAGGTCATGTTACCATGGCGACAGGAAGGGGGTGATTGAGTGTTTTCTGAAACAGAGGTCTCTTTCACTGGGACCATATTGTTTGGTTACTTCTATTTGTATATTAGTATGTTCAGGGACCAAGCGTTAATATCTGTTCGAATTTATCGTCAGTTTTGGGACATGCCAGCTTTTGGGACTTACCAGTATGTTGTTTTTCTCTTGATTGTGTCTGGGCACAGGTTGCCCTGCCATGCAATTCTCTGTGAAGAGTAGCCCCTTGGGCATGCCAGAGTAATATGGTCGTGGGTTCGGATTCTGGTGTGTCCCAATGATGTTTCTAGGTTTGTCAGCACCATACCAGGGCTCGTAGGTTTCACCAAAGTTGGAAACGTCTGAGACCTGCTTCACTTCGGGTCTTTCCTACTACATTAAGCTGGCACGCCGCGATATAATTGAATACTGTTGGCATTAGGTCCAACAAACGCATGCACTCACCTCTGATTTTGTATGACATGTTTGGGTGACTCAATCCTTTCAGCTATATGTGCCAAAGTAGATTGTATCTAGTACTGGTTACATGTACAACATAATCTACATAATGAACAGTGTCGCTATTGAAATTGCTTCTTAGCAAGGAAGGACATAGTTTTACATAACTTTTATATTCCTGGAGACCTAGGGACTTGCTAGATGTATTCAAGCGTCACTTGAAATACGATCAATAGTTTCTCACTGCTGCAAAGCGAAACAGGACATGGTGAAATTTATTCCCTGAAAAAATAGCCACCCTTGAGTGATCCCACGCAGTGACACATAGAGCTGGCATGATGCCAGGCTATAACTAATGCATCCTGTTGGAGTAAATCAAATCCTTCTTATGGTGCAAGCTTGTGTGTATGTTGTGATATTGTGAGCTTATCATTGTCACATCTGGGCACACCATACGTTTGTCAGTCTCAAGTAGAAATATGCTAACTAGGTCAGCGTTGTGTATCTGAACATTTTCCTGCATCTGTGGACTTAATTGTGACAGGCAAACAGATTGTATTAACATGATTAAGGTACATAATGTATTCTGGCTTACTGTTGTTGATCTTCAGGTTGTCAATCTGTGACAGCACATACTTTGATGGCATATACTAGGTTAAGCTGACCTATTAGTAGCGTTATGAATGTACATCCAGGTTCTAAATGATATTTTTGTAAACACTGGAAAACTTTTTGCAGTCTTGCATTTTGCAGTTTTTGCATTTCAACCTGCTACTTTGACACTACTCCAATTCCTGTGTCAAAGAGTTCATCACTTCGAGTACATTTTGGTGTTTTGGACTGTTATTGGCTAGGCTTGCTAATACTAATACTTCACTTGGGCTTTGGGTTGGTGGGAAAAGTTGCAGTTGGGCCTCGTAAAATTTATTTCTGTCTGGTAAACTCAGCAGGTCACACTAACCCATACATTATAATTAAAATGTGTTTGAAATTTCTGTGTTGGTTAATGTTACGGTTTGGGTGATGTTAAGTACCAGCAATGCTCTGAGTATCTGATATTATTTCTAGATCTATCGGCACCATTCCTGTGCTTTTGGGTTTTACCAAAGTTGTAAAGGTTTTAGACATGCATCACTCCAGCCTTTCCTCCCTCATTAAACTGACACTGAGATATATCTTGAATATTGTTCAAAGCAGTGTTACGCCCAACCCACTCAAACGATAATTTCCACTGCAAGATTTCCGTAGAATAATGTTTTGGGTATTCTTTTCCACCACCGTGATTAAAGGGGCACTGATCTAAAGCAATTCCCCAGGACTGGTTGTTGCCTATTGTTTTTTCCCATTGAGTACCCGGATGATACGCAGCGCAACTCAGCGTGGCCAGAGACTGGGCTACCGTCTGCAAGGACAGCTAAATAAACTTGGAGGCAATATTTGTTTTACACATTTTTGAATACTGATTGGTTAACTGTGATTTATAAAGATTTTTCGACAAAGGGCGCATGTTAATTAAATTCTTCAGCCTAAACAAACAGACAAAAAGAATGGCGGAGCTCATCGGATGTCGTCATTTGGAAATACCCCAGATGGTTATAGTTTAATAATAAAAAAAAGTATCCATGCAGTGAAAGCATTTTCGGATTTTGGATTGCTTCGATAACACGATTACTACTCCTTTTTGTCATCCACGTTTTCTGGTATAACCCAACACTTGTGTATTTGTCGTCATTCACTTGATGCTCAGTTAATGAATTCATTACAGGTACAATTAGTGGTAGCATTACTTAGATTACCTGACAAAGGTTCCCATTTGGCATTTATTGTGTCTGGGGTAATTATTCAATTTAAATCCAGGTTTGAAGTGAGGTGAAATGTGTGTTATGTAATATGCACGTGGCAGCCCAGCAAGAGATGAATGATCAGTTGATTTACTTTTTTTGTAAATCAACAGATCGTTCCTAGTCATCAAAGGATTAACAGAAAATACGTTGATTGATTAATCACTGTTTTCTTGCACAGTGGATATGTCAAAAGTGAGTGTTTACATGTCTAGGTTTACTCAAACAAAGGGAATACACTCACTCACTCATATCATGGCGTGAAGTGCCGATATAAAACCAACATACTTTGTTCAAAGGGTTAACTGATAATACGTTGCTCATTTTTATCTATCACTCAATGGATTTTTTAAGGACCGTGGACGTTATGAAATTGTCACATGGGCCTTCTCAGCTGACCCTTGAGACTTTACACCTATGCGAAACACCTGAAACAATCCAAGTGATCAGTTGAGAAACGAACACGGGTTATAATATCCCGAGACGTTATATATCTTTTAAAATATTCGATTGTTACAGAGACACTTGACATCGAAAAAGTTTCTTTGCACAGCTGCAGACGAGTGGGATATTGTTCCTTTGTGTGGATATTCACGGATACATTCCTCAAACAAGGAAGCTGCCTAAAATTATACACATAAATTTGGTAGGTTGTAATTATGGTATTTGCATTTTGTTTTCCTTCATTTGCTGTAGCATTGAACCGCTTCGTTCTTG